GCTACGAGCCCTCACCACGCCCGTTTCTGCAACTTTGCACATGTCTACTGGCTAATAAATGTGATGTGTCTGTCGAGTTCATGCAATTTGAAGCAATGCTAAGGGTCTCAAAAGCATCCTAAAGCATCCTAAAAGAAGGGCAAAGTTTGATGCGTCGCCACGGCAACAGTTTCAAAGATATCAAGAATCCATTCACAGGTCTACATCTGCCGTATGTTTACATTATACAGATGAAGTTTGAAGCAAATCGGGTAAAAATAAAAGGGTGATTTCAAAGCATTTTGAAAGTGACACACTTCCTGCTGCCAGTTGGTGGCGCTATAACTTTTACTCACAATAGTCACATCCATGTGATCGTCCTCTTACAGCGAGCACACTGCTGAAGTTTCATCAAGATCAGTTAATGTATGCTGAAGTTATAACACACTTCCTGTTTCACGTTTCTCGCCATGATTTCGTTTCCTCGCCACGGACAAACCGTTCGAGATATCAAAAATCCCCTCGCAAACTTTCATCCTCAATGTCTTGACTTCACGCTGACCGAGTTTCGTCGAATGTGGATCAAAGCTCTAGGAGGAGTATTTCAAATACCATTGCGAGCGTTTTACAAACAAACCTCAATAGCCGACTTCCTGTTGGGCTGGGGTAAAAAGTAAGAGCGCGAGGTATAGATGAAACGATGAGATCAACATGTGTACCGAGTTTCATATTATTACATGCAAGCGTGTTTGAGTTATGGACCGAGTGTTCGGACCCCGTTCCAGGGGGCGCTGACGAGCCCCCCTGCCACGCCCAGGTACCAGCTTCAGCCCGGCTCTGATGGCCGCGGGTTCTGACCCGTGTGCAAAGTTTCAAGAGTTTTCGAGCACGTTAAGGGCCCCAAAAGTGCCCAAAAGGTAGTAAAATAATAATTATTATAATAATAATAGAGAAGAAAAATAATCGCAAGGAAAACAATAGGGCCTTCGCCCTTTCAGGGCTTGGGCCCTAATAATAATAGTAAAGAAAAATAATCCCAAGGAAAACAATAGGGCCTTCGCCCTTTCAGGGCTTGGGCCCTAAAAATATATTATGTCAGGTAAATGTAACGTCAATTTCTTAATCAGTTCAAAGATAATAGAAACAAAACATCAAATGCTCTGGAATAAGGAGAGAAGATGCAAACCTTGACATTAGGAAAGATGTGATGTCTCGGCGACTCTCAGCATTCATGGGCCAATTTGAGCAACAAATCGCGCCAAGCCTCTTGTAGCATTTCTTTATCTAGACAGACCAACAGTGTTGTAGTCGAGACCACCTCACTCGAGTCCGAGTCGAGACCGAGACCAGAGAGAGCCGAGTCCGAGTCAAGACCGAGTCCATAGAAAGTCAAGTCCAAGTCGAGTCCAAGACCAGAGATGGTCGAGTCCGAGTCGAGACCGAGACCAGTGAGGGTTAATTACCTAATTTACTTTTATTTACTTAGAGAAATCCTTTTTTTATTTTACTGAATTTACTTAGAGATTAAAAAATATGATCAGTTTAGGGTAAAAAGGCCACATAGTAGGTGGTGTTAAAAGTAATTTTATTACAATTTGTCATGTGCAGTTGCGCACTAGAAAATCACCAATCACTGGGCGTGTCAATCAATTTAAAAAAAATATTTTATTAACATACATTAATAATCATGAAAAATATTTTGAATTAAACTCGAGTGGACTCGAGAATAAGTACGAGTCCTAAAAAAAAAAAATGTTCGAGTACGAGTCAATTCCGAGTCCAAATGCAAACGAGTCCATGACCATTAAAATATGGTCTCGAGACCGAGTCCGAGACGAGTCCGAGTCTCGAGTACTACAACACTGCAGACCAAGGCAGAAACCTCTTTTCAAAATAAACATGAGTTCACACTGGGAATTTACATTAATCACCTTTATAGACTTATTGGAGGCAGAAGTTGTTTTAAATGCACTGTAAAAAAAGTCCGTTAAATTTACGGGAAAACTCCGGCAGCTGTGGTTACCAGAGTTTTCCTGTTAAAAGTACGGTAGCAACATTTCAGGTTTTACAGACTTTGACCGTATTTAATTTTACAGCAATAAACCGTAATTAATTATATAATATAATGTTAATTTACTGACATTTTGAAGTATTGATATCTGTTTTGATCAAGTGCAATACACCGACAGCCATCAATCACAGCAGTAATGAGAATCAAGTGATCAATCAAAGCTCATCATTATCAGCACTTCCACAAGAAAGTTCATACTACTAAATAGAAGCTGCACAGTGTATTTCACACAAACATTAAACACCATCATGGTAACATGTTGAAATTTAAAAAATGAAATAAGAATTAATTTAACAATGTTAAATGTAACATAAAACCCTTATGAACATAACTGATAAGAAAAAAACTAAGAAAATTATGAATAAACAGTTAAAATACATTAAATGTGAACCGTCACGCAGGGAATTGTGGGAAAGTCAATTTACATTTTTTCACTGTAAATTATACAATGACTTCTTTTTTTCACTTCCAAAAACTGTAAATTTAACAGTATTTTACAGTAAAATTACATTAAATGTACCATGAAACTTTCTGTTAACCAATTAACAGTTTTTCACTGTAGCATTTTTACAGTCTTTTACTGTTAAAATCACGATCATTTTTTACAGTGTGGAAACATTTGCCAACAATGGGAATTTACATTGAGTTTACATCTTTGAGAACAGGAGGCCATTTGCCTGTAAGACCCACCCTCCTTCATGTGCAATTTATCTCTAAACTCTTAAAAACTTTATTACCTTTTGTTTTACTTCTTTGGGAATGATACCTTTGTACCAGTCACACATAGACATGAAATGATACCATCAAATGATATGAAACATGTGTAATACTGCATGAAAATTATTCACATTAAACCATATAGATTTTTGGGTGAATTTCAGGTGGTCTCAGCATGAGAAATAGGGAGTGAGGGAAGTGGGAAAGAGATGTATTCTGAGGTGAGACTTGCGTCTCAAATAAAGAGAGTTCAAATGTTTTTCCAGAAAAGGTCCTTTGTCCTCTCAGGGAGTGGCCATTCCTTAGATAGACTTCCCGGCATTTTCTAAAGTCTTACAATGTGTGTAAAAACATGGACCTATTAGACAAGTAGTTTCATCATCTATGCTACCTTTTAAAAGTGTGTGGTCAGTTATGATTATTATTATTATTATTATTTGCTTTGCAAGAAATTAATACTTTCATTCCGCAAGTATGCTCTAAATTTATCTTAATTTAAAATTAAGTGATAGTAAAGACATCTATAATGTTATGAGTTCTATTTCAAATAAATGAAAATTTTCATCAAAATAATCTTGAAAGAAAAGTATTACAGTTTCTACAATAAAATCAAGCTACTGTTTGCAACTGATAATAACACGAAATGTTTTTGAGCACAAAACATATTCAAATGATTGGACCATGTGGCACTGAGTAACACTCCTGAAAATTCAGCTTTGCCATCACTGGAATAAATTACATTTCGAAATGTAGTTATTTTACTGCAGTTATTTTAAATGATAATAATATTTCACAATATTTCTGTTACTTTGCACACGGACACTCACACTGATACATAATCTTTGCACATTTTTCAGAGCACAGAGGCTGTTAATCAGAGCTATAGAGGATATGACCTACCCTCGCAAAACTCACAGAAAGGTGAGAATCCAGCAGTAAATTCACACAGTCCAAATAGTCATTGCAGAAATAATTTTTCTCTGTTTCTTTAACTTTATGTTATTGTGATTTGTGTTAATTAAGATTATACTAATAAAGCTCACATGCAATTTTTCTCAGTGTTTTAACAATTACACATGAAGTTAATGGAATGCTGCACAATGCTTAAGTGAACTCTAAATTGATTGCTGCCCTTTGACGAATTAATAGTTTAGTCATAATTCATGTCATAGGTTAGTCATGCAGTAGTCCATGTTTCAGATGAATAGGTGTGAAACAAATTCTTGTCTAGATTGTTATCGCCATTCTGTGGAATTACGGAAATGCTCGCCAAAATATTGAACTGTGGGTGTGGTATGAAGATCTTTGTTGAGTGAATAATAATGTGTAACGTATAACTCTGAAACTAGCCATAGACAGAAACCATTCAAACTAATTAAAGAAAAACGAGTTATGCATTCTTGCCATCAAAATTAGAGAGACGAATTGCACAAGATTATTGTAGACTTGTAATGTTAGATTTTTGTCCAGATTTGTCATAAAAAAAGCATTGTTAGCACAGAGTGGTAGAATATCTGTTACATTAGTCCTCAGTACTTGTTTTCTGTCCACAGGAGAGAACTGCAGCTAATGAGAAGCAGAGAGAGGTGAGAATCGTCAGCACCTGTCAGCAGAGCAGAAACCCTCTGTGGGTCAGTGTGGAAGACGACAACAGCACATTACTGGACAGTTAGTACAAGACAAACTCATTCAGCTGTTTTACTCATAACTAGGCATGGGAAACAGAAGGCATTTCTGATTCTTAATAGTTCAACTAACATTTCTTTTAGTACTTTTGAAGATGAAATATTTGAAACAGTGAGATAGTTTCAATATTTCTTTCTTTTTTAATTCAAACACTTCTTGCAAAATGTTTTTTCACTGTCATCTTAATTACCTTTCACAGACATTTTGGAGTAACAAACAAGTTGGTAACAGATTTATTTTAGTAAAATCCTACTGACTGACGACAACTACACATTTTCATATGTACAACTATTTATTAACTACATTGATTTAAGTCTCACAAAGATTAAGGTCATTCAGTTTCAGAAATATTTAATATGGAACCAGTTCTGAATAAAAACATATTAAACTTTTTTCATAACATATTCATAACAACATTCATATTCATATCTCTCTCTCTCTCTCTCTCTCTCTCTCTCTCTCTTTCTCTCTCTTTCTCTCTTCGTAAATGAGTGTGTGTGTGTGTGAGATGCTATTAATTTGAATCATTCATTTAATTAATACGTGTCAGGCATTTTTTTTTTATCTTAAGTGTCAAGTAAATCTTTCTCTTCTGTAGGTTATGGTTGTGTGCAGAGCAGATGTGTGACTCTGATGCCTTACACCCTGGTCACACCTCAGTTCCCTCCCATCTGTCGCCCAGTCCTCCTCCTTCCCACAATCTTTGGCCATGTCTTGCACAAACGGTTGGCAGAACAGGAAGGTTATCAGCTCTGTGAGCCAGGTAAAAAAAGAAAATCACTTTATTTTCAAGCAAGAGGAAAATAAAGGGGGTGTTGGGGTGGGGGGGGGGGGGGGGTAGATAAAGTTACCATAGAGAAACCTTCAGGTTTTGAAAATAAATTCAGGTTTGAGTCACAGTATCAACAGGTTTCCTTCCTTATCAGTCACATTCGACGTTACGTCAGACTAAACTAAGGTATTGGGATCTCGCCTGAGAGCCCAATCACCTTTGAGTGGTAAAAGAACAAGCCAATGCACATTGGTGAGTGAGATTTGCATCGCAAGCCACTCCTTGCTTCCGGGCATATAAGGCAGCCTGCAAACACGTTAAGCTTTTGCTTCAGTGCCGAGCAGGCATTGTTTCAGTTTGCTCTTCAATCATCTTTCAGAGAGTCTACGGAACAAGAGGAAAGCTGTTTCTGTGTTGGTGTAATGGCGTGTTTTAGCCGAGGTTGCGGTTGCAGAGTGTTTTCTCTGTTAAGTTCAGCGGCTATTCCTCTGAGCGCTTCAACATTTAAAGAGCTTTTTCGCTAAAAGAGTAAAAACGGGTGTGACGTTGTTGTTTTTTTCAAGTAATTCCACCCATGTTTTTCTGGATGTAGTTGTTTCCTGACCCCATCTGACAGCCACAATCTCTGCCTCATGTGTCTGAGCCATAAGCATTCTGAGGAAGCGTTCGTTGATGAGTCATGCACCCACTGCCGGCAGATAACCATCGCAATGTTGAGATAAAGACTGAGATACCGTGAAAAAGGTGAAGTCCCCTCTGTTATTCCCCGATCCGGTCTTTCTACACAGCAGAGAGCTACTTCGGTTAATACACAGGGTGATTTGAGGATTACAGTGGAAGCTCTCCCACCGGGTCAATCCTTGTAGCCCTCCCACTCCTCTTTCACATCACAGCCTGTGAAGCTTCTGGCTGCGGTGTCTAGTCCTTCCCATGGGGGAACCAGCATCTCATTAACTCTCTGGGGTCTAAGGTGTTTTTGAGGTCCTTGAGATGTTTTGACATGGCCTGACATCTGTGCTTATTTCAGTTGCTTGTAAACATATACACGGTAAGGGTGTAATTACACTCTAATTAGCACAAACAGGGCTACCATAATATGTGAGCAACATGTATGTACATGGTTGTATTTTTGAGAGAATAAGGTTTATGCATGGTTATTGGAAAAAAGTTTCTAAAATAAGGCCACAAAACACATACTAAATGTGTCCACCAGACTTTTGACTAAAGGATGTTGTCACCTAAAGTTTTTGCTTCAAAATAATCTGAAAATCGTCCTGCATAATCATTCACATAAAACAATACATTGTTTTAAATTTTGTAAGACACTGTTTGTTGGTAAAGGCAATATGCGTGGGGGTGTGATTCACACCTGAGAAGACAATGACCTGCATAATGACCTGCATAATGAGCCTTTCATTCCAGTGTGTCACTGAGCCACAAGAAAGATTTTAAAACCCATTTTAACAGCGTTAATATTTTTATCGCGTGATTAACAGTCTTTTTGTCCTAGCAAACTTTGTAGTTTTTCACATGCTTTTGCAACAGGGCGGCATGCGTCCTGATCCATTTCGGCGTCTCGCACTCGTCATCCACTCAAAGCTGGCTCGTAAGCCCGGCGTGTCTGTTGTTTTGTTTATGGTCTAGCTAGATCCGCTTGCGGTTTGGTCGAAGAAGCAACAAAACGTTCTTGCGCAAGCCATTGAAATGAATGGTTCCCTTTCGTAGTCACTCCGAGTTACGTCGGAATGACGGAGAATGGGGGTTTCGCCTAGAAAGCCAATCCTCTTCGAGTATTAAAAAACGAGCCAATGGCAAAGAAATGCCATGGGTCTGCGGAATTTGCATAGCGTATCTCCGCCTCACCCCGTGAGTATAAAAGGAGGAAGCGGACGCCACCGCAGTATTTTTTCGCTTCGGAGCCAAGAGAACTTCTTCACTCCACAAGCCACACAATCTGAGTTTACTACGGTGACTCACCCCTTCGAGACGAGCGAACTCTCTGGTGTTGGTGTGACGGTGGTACCCAGCGAGTTTCACATTGCCTGCGATCTGAGCAGTGGTCTGCCAGTGTGTGTGTCTCTCCCTGGTCGCTTCAACATCCGTGGAGTTGTCTCCTTTCACTGAAAGAGTGTGCACGCGGCACGTCTTTTTAAAGACGCGTCTTTTTAAAGACAATCTGCCCGTGTATTCCTGAGTGCGGTATTCTGATAGAGTCAGCTGATGGGCACGAGCACTGTTTGACGTGTTTGGGCTTTGATCACGCTCAGACAGCGCTCGTGGGTGTGTCACGTTCTCTCAGTGGGGACGTGATCATCGCAATGTATAACGGTTGAGACCCAGTGAGCTCAATAGAGTGAGAGTCCCCTCATTCACAACCCGAACTATTTTCTCCACATGAGATAATACTTCGGCTGGTGGCCAGGGTGACCAAAAGACGTCAGGTCTGGAACTAAACCGACGAAAATTCCTCGGTCCACACCCCGCCTTTCACGTTGCAACCCACGTGGTCCAGAGTGAGTGGGCGGGGCCCGCCCGCGGTCCCGCGTTCTCATTCGGTCCCCCAGCTGATGAAATCATGTTTATTGCCGCATCACAAGGTGAGCTGGAGTCCTCTGGAGATGGCTCGTCTGTGCTGCTGTCCTCGGATGTGCTAGCATAGCGAGTTTGATTCAGGGTTCACAGCTATGCTTTCCCGGGCTGCCACGAGTGTCGGGTTTGTGTGGAAAATTCTGCCATGTCCCGAGCACTTAAGGCTGATGATTGTTTTTTGGGGGTGGCGAACCCAAATCCTTTCTTCCTGGATGTGCATGAAAAGGCCGTGAGATCGTGGAAGTATCCTTTGACTTTTCACGATCACTCAGCGGCCTCTTCCGCCTTCCCTGACCTCGTAGAGGCCGCAGTCTAGGGTACACTGGGGTTCCCCCCTGTGGAGAGTTCTGTGACAACACTCATGTGTCCCCACAGCGCCTCCACCTGGCGTGGCAACCCTAAGCACCCCTCCAATGCCTGTAGGTTCTTGTCTACTCCGGTGGAGGGGACCTGTAGAGCTGCGGGGCAGGCTGCCACCTCACTGTATGTTATTGTCATCCTTATGGGTGTTCAGTGACATGCACGAGGATAGGGCTGATTCAGGGCTCATGCTTGAGCTGCCTGCCATCACCGACCTTGCTCTTAACGAGCGATGAAGGTGACCGCATGCTCCCTGAGTCAGGTGATGTCCACATGCGTGGTTAGACATTTTTGTGAGGCTGAGTGAACCAGTTTCCTCAACTTCCCCATATCCCAGGCAGGCCTCTTTGGCGGCGCGGTCGTGAACTCTACCCAGCATTTCTCGACCGCCCAGAAGTGGACTGTGGCTTTTGTCTGACCCTGTGGCTTTCTGCTGCCAACCAGCCGCCGGCTCAGACGCCTCAGTCCGCTTGCCGCCGAATGTGCCCTCCTGCGACTTCCGCCCTCTCCCGCCCGGCCCCAGCAGCACCGGGCCGTGCCGTGGAGGTGGTCGCAGGGAGGTGCCCCTGCCCGTACCAGCCCTGCAGCCCCGCTGTACTCCAGGCTATGCTGCGCTCCCGTTACGGGCAGCACAGATATGGCTTGCAGTTCTTTAGGGAGTGGTTGCAGGCCCACTCCTTCCCCCGGTGGAGGGCTGGGGGAGAATCTTTCCTCCAAAGAGCTGCATTCCATCCCTGAGCACACAGAGCCGGATGGCAGTGTGCGACGCCCCCGTGCCTCGCCACTCTCATCCTTCTCTACCTCTGAGGGCGCGGATGACAGTGCGTGCCGTCTACGGACCACACCGCTCTCATCCCCCTCTATTGCCAGACCCCTGGCAGAGCAGACCCCCTTGGAACGCTGGTCCTTCCCTGGTCTCCTCTGTCAGGGCGCGGAGCTTGACGCACACGCGGGGTCGCTATGCCACCTTCGCCTGTGCCGATCTCTCCGCCCCACTGCCCCTCCAGGGGGACGCCTGTGGCTTGGATGATTCCGCTGGATCAGTTTTGGGGGCTTGGTTAGAGCTCCCCAATCTGTCCCGTTGGGTCGCCCGAACTATCAGGTTCAGAGGATCGTGCAGAGCATCTCTTTTCTCGGTATGGAGATAGACTCGGTCGCCATGTCCGCGCAGCTTACGAGCGAGCGCGCACACTCACTCCTGACTTGTCTTCGACAGTTCGAGGGCAAGAGTGCGGATCCACTGAAACTTTTTCAGAGGCTCCTGGGGCACATGGCATCTTCAGCCGCGGCAACACCACTCGGATTGCTTCATATGAGACCGCTTCAGCCGTGGCTTCGCGATCGAGTCCCGAGGTGGGCATGGCATCACGGTATGCTCAGAGTTCCAGTGACTCAGACCTGCCGTCAGACCTTCACCCCGTGGAGGAACCTCAGCTTTCTACGGGCCGGTGTTCCCGGGGTGTTGTTGTCTCCACAGATGCCTCTGCCACGGGTTGGGGCGCCATGTGCAATGGGCATGCAGCCGCGGGCTCCTGGACAGGACCCCAGCGCCTCATGCATGTCAATTGCCTCGAGTTGCTGGCAGTACGCCTTGCCCTGCACCGCTTCCGTGCGTTGCTCAAGGGTCAACACGGACTCTACCGTTCATTGTCTGAACGATAGAGTCCTTTCAGATAATACCGCGACAGTTGCGTACATCAACCACCAAGGGGGTATACGCTCTCGCCGTATGTCGCAACTCGCACGCCACCTCATCTTATGGAGTCAGAGGCACCTGAGGTCCCTTCGTGCTATCCACATTCCAGGAGTTCGGAACTGTGCAGCCGACAGGCTGTCACGGCTCCGTCCAGTCTCTGGCGAATGGCGACTCCATCCCCAGTCGGTCCAGCTGATATGGGATCAGTTCAGGGACGCACAGATAGATCTGTTTGCCTCCCACGACTCATCCCATTGCGCCCTGTATTACTCTCTGACCGAGGGCACGCTCGGCACAGACGCACTGGCGCACAGCTGACCGCGGGGCCCACGCAAATATGCGTTTC